TAGTATGGCTGGAGCTTGAGCAGCCACTTCAGATTATAAGGCAGAAAATGCAAGCTTAAGACAAAAAAAAAAAAAAACTATCCTTAAAGAAGCCCAGACTCTGGATTTACACCTATTAAAAGATCTTAAAAGAAACTGTTTCAAATAATCAAAGAACTAAAAGTTATCATGTCTAAAAAACTAAATGACGTCTCACCAAATAGAGAATATCAATAAAAAGATAAAAATTATAAAAAATAACCAAACAGAAATTCTGAAAAAGCAGAACAACAAATATTTCCTAGAGGGGTTCAAGCAAATTTGAGCAGGCAGAAAGAAAAAAAATAAATCAGTGACTTTAGGATCAATCAAGATTACCCAGTCTGAGGAAATGATATAAAAAAGAATGAAGAAAAATGACAGTGTCCCTCAGAGACCTAGAGGACACCACCAAGCATATCAACATATGCATAGTGGGAGTACCAGAAGGAGAGGAAAGAAAAAGTAGAAAAAAATACTTGAAGAAATACTAGCTGAAAACTTCTCAAATTTAATGAAAAACATTAATCTACACATCCAAGAAGGTCAATGAACTCCAAGTAGGATAAATAAAAAGAGATACACACCTAGACACATCCTAATCAAACTATAAAAAGACAAAAAGAAAACCCTGAAAGCAGCAAGGAAAAAGTGACTCATCATGTACAAATGATCCTCAATACAATTAACAGCTGATTTCTTATCAGAAACCAGAGAAGCCAGAAAGCAGTGGGATGACATATTTAAAGTTCTGAAATTAAAAAAAGCCTGTCAACCAAGGATTCTATGTCAAGCAGAACTATCCTTTAAAAAAAGGAAGGGAAAAAAAGGAGAAAAACAAAATTGAAAGAATTTGTTGCTAGCAGACCTGCCTTACTGTACTAAAAGGAGTCCTTTGACTTGAGAAGACAAAAATCCATATGAAGAAATAAAGAGCGCCAATAAAAGTAAATATAAAGGGCAATATAAATGCATTTATCTTTCTTTTTTTTCCTCCTGTATGAAAAGACAACTGCATAAAGAATTTTAAATATGGGTGATAAGCACACATGCACAAAAATTTAATTTGTGACAGGAACAGCAAAACAGAGGGGTGCAGAGCTATACAGAAGCAAAGCTGTTGTATACTATTGAAATTAAGTTGTTATTAATCCCAGTCAGAGTGTTAATATGTAAATTATAGTGTCCCACCTCTGGGATCCTAACATGAGGGACTCCATGGACACACTCCCCTAGAAAACAAGCAAAGCTAGTGAAAACTATTTTAAAAAATGTTAAGTCTCTGGATATGATCCTAAAGGCAAACAGCGAAAATAAAGTATTCAAGAAAACCTACTAAAACTCAGTAACACTGAATATCTGTGGCATTTGAGCCATGATCCACTCCATGGCCAAGTTTGATAGAAGCTTCGCTCCAGGTGGGAGTGGCTAAGAAGAAGGCATTCCTTCTCTCTTCAGCTCCCAATCAAAAATCAATCACCAGAAGGATCAGGCCACCAGCATTTCTCATCTACAACTCCAAGTTGAAGAGGCTAAATTCCTCGTGAGCTGGACCAGGAGCTCATGGGCTCTCTTCCTCCAACCAGCCCCTTTCCACAGGAAAGAGGCTCCATCCAAGGTGCAGCACAGTCCGAGAATATTGGGTCCCTAACTGTGTTCTCTCCAGCTCAAATGGCAAAGGTTACACACCAGGAGAGGCAAGCCAGAAAACTAAAAGCTAGCCTCCTGGCCAATGTCCAGAGTAATGACTCAGAAATTCTGTCCAGAAAGAGAAGTAGTCCATAAAAAAAGAAAACTCCAAACTCTCCCCAAAGGAACTAACATTATTTGACACAGACTGTGGGTAAATTCAGGCCCAAGGAGGTTCTCGGAAAAAATCTCTTAATCAGGAGCAAGGAGCTACACTGCGGGGCACATAACTCACTACTAAGAACCAAGGAAAAAGGCAGCTAAAAATAGCCTCTTCTGGGGTCAGAACGAACCACAAAGAGTGGCCTAAAATACTACCCCCGCCCAAATTTAATTGGAACAGACTAATGAACAATTAATGCCAAGACAATTCAGTGAGGGAAAGAATAATTTTCAGCAACTGGGACAACTAGATATCCACATGCAAACAATAAAGTTGGACCTCCCTACATGACACCGTAAATACATACATACACACGCAATTAACTCAAAATGGGTCAAAGATCTAAATGTAAGAATTAAAAATATAAAATTCTTACGAGAAAACAGGTGCAAATCTTCGTGACCTTCAATTGGACAAGTTTCTTAGATACACCTAGGGTATAACCAAAGGGAAAAAATAGATAAACTAGACCATCAAAATTTTTAAATTTTGTGCATCAAATGATACTAACAAGACGGAAAAATAAAAACCTGCAAAAATGGGAGAAGATATTTATAAAGTATTCATCTGACATTTATATCTAGAATAAAGAACTTTTACAATTCAACAATAAAAAGACAACCCAATTTAAAAATGGGTAAAAGATATGAATATATACTTCTCCAAAGATGGCATACAAATAGCCAATAAGAACATGAAAAGATGCTCAACATCATTAGTCATTAGAGAATATGAAATAAAACCACGATTGGATACGTCTTCACACGCACCACGAGAACTAGAACCAAAAAGTCAGATTATAACAAGTGTTAGCAAGGATGTGAAGAAACTGGAATCCATATTATAAAATCATATGATTTCATTCATGTGAAAGTCCAGGACAGAAAAACTATAGAGACAGAGTAAATTACTGGTTCTTTATTTGGAAAGTAGGGAGAGAGACTGGGAGATAGTGATAACTAAATTATACAGATTTCTTTTGAGGTTATAAAAATGTTCTAAAATTGACTGATAAAGCTGCACATACAGGGAATATACTAAAAACCACTGAACTATGAACGTTTAAAAGTTGATTTTTATGTGGGATCTGTATCTCAAAAAAGAAATGTACAGTGGGCGGAAAAAAATACAATGACTCTTGAGTACAATTTGGTGCTACTCCCTCAATTCATGCTGAGGTGCCAGCAGCCTTACCCACCATTACTTTTCCATCCATGCAAGTATCAACACAGTGAAATGAGCAATAACATTGTAGTATTATTATAAAAACAGTTTTGAACTTGTGACTCCCTGAGAATTAATCAAAGACCCCTAGCAGTTCATTTGCAAACTTCACTTTGCAAACTCCTGGACTAGACTATAAGCTCCTAGAAATAGGGAACAAATCCTCTATCTACATGTGAGGCAGCATAGTGAGTCAGAAAAGGAGCATGGGCTTTTCTGTTAGGCAGACTTCGGTTCAAATTCTAGTGCTGCCATTTAGGTTACAAGAGCTTAAATGCCCTATGCCTCAGTTTCCTGTGCTATAAAATGAGGATAATATCTCCCTATATAAAGTAATTTAAGACCATCTGAAATATAACGGGTGTTCAGTAAATGTTAGCTCCCTTCTCATTTTGTTCCCAACCAGCTAATACAGTGCCTTACATACAGAAGATGCTCAAGTACTCAGTGGAAGTTAATTAGCTACTTCATATAGATCTATGTAAGTCAAAGTTCTAAGGTGAACTTTAAATGCTAGAGTTAGATACAAAATATTGAGATATGTCCAGATATTTTCCACAAAAATATTATATTCACCTTAAGGCATATAACGGAAAATATAATCTTCTTGAAAATTCATCCAGTTTTTAAAAAATCACTCGCATTCTAGACAAGTAGCAGTGAAAAGTAAAATGGTATGTTAAATGTTAGAAATTGCTCCACACCTCTGATTCAAAAACATTTTTATGGCCTGCATATCTCTGTAGCTCAACTATCCGATATAGTCACTATCTATAGTGACTTCATTAGACTATATGGTGATGAAGGGCATGAATATTTCAGTCAAAGAACCTGATTTTACATACCTACACTACCACTTACAAGGCTGTGTGACCTTAGGCTAATTAGTAGTCTTCATGGGAATAATAATGTTTACAGAATTACTGTGAGGATTAAATGAAATAATATGAGAAGCACTTATAACAATGCCGACACAGAGTAAGAACTAAACAAATACTATTTTTAGGCAATGTTTCTAATTTAAATACACTCCAGGGATATTCTTTTGTAGCATTCTTATACAGCACCCTGGCAACATGTATAGATGTAATTTTTAAAAACCAAAACTCCAGGTGCTTTTTTTTGATAAGTTACTGATCTCAGTAACTTTGGGGTGAATGCTGATAAATCTTTAAGTATAAAAGCTTTCCATTTATACTATAAACTTATTTTCCTCACATTTCAATGGGAAAATATGAGAGATTCTAAATTATGGTATAAATCTGGAATCCCTTAGATTACTCCTTTAAGAAAAGAAACTATGTTTCCAAGTCAGGCTTTGGCTTAAACTTCAGATTATTACAAAAATGGGACTGAGGGAGATAACACGAATTTTCTTTGCACACCACCATACCCCAAACTTCAATAAGTTAAGTATATCTTTAAAAATATAAAACGTCTACTAGAAAAAAACTCCAATATGACATTTGACTAAAGAAGTTTGTTTTCTGTCACCATTAAGACCATTAACGAGACAGAACGAAAGACTACAGTTGAGAAGCCCAAACATTCCAGACATGAGTGTGTTTTCAACTTTAAGGACCTCATTTTGGAGTGGGGGAAAGAAAGTCTCCTCCACTCCAAAGAATGTTGTGTACACAGTAGATATTAACCATTTTGTTGATAATGACCAAATGCAGAAAGATAAATACGTAAATAAAACACCACCTTGGCCCCAAACATGACATATTAATGTAAACACTTCTAAACATCTCCAGGATACTACCCATCTTTGACATGCCTTCAAAAGCTAGGCAGAAAAGAGCAGAGACAAAGAAAGCCATTGCTGTTCAACATAAATCTGATATCTTTGTATTACCACCCTGAAAAACTCCTTAGAGTTTATGATCTTTTCAATAACATTACTTACCTTTACCCACGCACCCCAGTTCAAAAAATACTGCTCTAAAAGAGCCAAGCTTACACAGTGGAGAAAAAAAAAATAGTCTCTTCAATAAGTGGTTTTGGGAAAACTGGACAGCCATATGCAAAAGAATGAAACTAGACCACCATCTTATACCATATACAAAAATTAACTCAAAATGTATTGAAGACTTGAATGTAAGATCTGAAACCATAAAACTCCTAGAAGAAAACATAGATGATAAGCTCCCTGAAATCGGTCTTGGCAATGATTTTTTAGATCTGACACCAAAAGCAAAGTCAACACAAGCAAAAATAAACAAGTGTAACTATATCAATCTAAAAGCTTCTGCAAAGCAAAGAAAATCATTAACAAAATGAAAAGGCAGCCTACTGAATGGAAGAAAATAATTGCAAATCATATATCTGATAAGCGGTTAATATTCAAAATATATACAAAACTCATTCAACTTAATAGCAAAAAAAAAAATTTGATTAAAACATAGGCAGAGGTTCTGAATAGACTTTTTTCTAAAGAAGACATACAGATGGCCAACAGGTATGTGAAAAGATGGTCAACATCACTAATCATCAGGGAAATGCAAATCAGAACTACAATTAGATATCACCTCACACATGTTAGGATGGCTATTATCAAAAAGACACTAAATAACAATGAGTAATTGGAGAAAAGGGAAACTCTGCACTATTGGTGCAAATATAAACTGGTGTAGCCACCATGAAAAACAGTTTAGAAGTTCCTCAAAAAATTCAAAATAGAACTACCATGTGATCCAGCAATTCTACTTCTGGGAATTTATCAAAAGAAAATGAAAACACTAACTCAGAAAGATATATGCACCCCCATGTTCACTGCAGCACTATTTGCAATAGCCAAGACATAGAAATGTCAACGTGTCCACGGATGAATACATGAATAAAGAAAATGTGAGATATATATATACATACACATATATGTATACACATAGCGGAATATTATTCAGCCATAAAGAGTGAACTCTTCCTATTTGAGACACCATGAATGCACCTTGAGAGCATTATGCTAAGTGAAATAAGTCACTTTTGAGAAAGACAAATACCATATGATTTCAGCTATATGTGGAATCTTTAAAAAAAAAAAAAAAAAGGCGGAGAGGACTACAGAGAAATTAGATTGGTAGTTGCCAGAGGCAGGGGGTAAGGGATGGGGAAATGGGTGCAGGGGTCAAAAGGTTCAAACTTCCAGTTGTAAAACAAATAATTCTTGGAGATGTAATGTACAGTGTGGTGACTATACTTAATAATACTATACTGCATATTTGAAAGTTACTAGGTCACAAGAAAAAACAATTTATAACTAAGTATGGTGACAGCTGTTAGACTTACTGTGATGATCATTTTGCAACATACACAAATACAGAATCATTATGTTGTACATCTGAAACTAATATATGTCAATCATACCTCTAAAAAAAACTGCTCTAAGGGGAAGCCTAACTTGAAGACTCAATCTAAAATATAAAAACTCAATCATTTCTTGGGGAAAAATGAAACTAAGGAGAGAACATTCTCTACACTAAACAGAAGAGACCTCAGGAACATCCTTTCCTCTAAGAATGACAGAAAAGAAACTGAGATTATTAGGAAAAATATCCAGAGCCAAGTCTGCTACTTAAAAGATAAATACTAAGGAATTTCCAAATCTTGTAAAGTCATGCATATCTTGTGCTATTATTTCTCTAAGATTTAAGGTGAGTAGCTAAAATTGTCATCGTCTATCCCTCACTCCACTGTTCAGTTCTAAAAGTTCTACTCCAAGAAGCTCTTCAAAAGCACGCTTCCATCTGGTAATTTACACTTTCTTATTATAAACAGTAAATGTTTATTTTAAAATATTAATAATAAATTATCAAACAACATCCTAAGCACCTGCCAATATCATATTAGTTTATAGCCTTCCTTAGACTCAAGGTGTATGAAAGAACATCTGAAGAGAGTACTGTGACCTTTCCAAGGCAGCATTCACAAATGACCACCAAAAGACCAGGTGCACAAAGAAAGACAGTAAAAGGTCTGAGCAGAATACAGAATGGCTGGAAAGGTAGAGTTGAAAAAGCCAAGGAAGAGTAATGTCATAGATGTCAGTGGAAGAAAAGTTTCAGGTCGGAGGGAGTGGCCAACAATGTCAAATGCTGCAGGTCTAAAAACTTCCCCAGGTCTCTTCCTTCAGTTCAGCCAAAAAATAAAGCTTTTATTACTCTCTCCCTCCTTCCTCCCTCCCTGTCGCTCTCTCTACTATGGAAGGC